ACAAAAAGGTAAAATTAGCTGAAAAAAGCTAAAATTAGAAAGAAACTGAGCACGTTAGCCGAATGATGCTCAATTAAGCAAAAAGCAGCTAAAGAGTAGCTGAAAAGGCAGAAAAAATAATAAAACTAGAATTAAGCTGAAAAGAGCATAAAAGCCTAAATTAACAGTAAAAAGTAAAAAGAAGCACATCAAGGCTGATATGAGCAGAAAGAAGTTGAATAAATAAMTAAAAATGCTGAAAATAGCCAAAATTAGCAAAAAAGAAGCTGAAATTAGCACAAAATTAGGAAAAAGCAGAAAGGTTTTAAGTATACTCCATTCAGAAAAAGCTAAATACCTCAAAAAGTATAAATTGCTGAAATACCAATAGTCAAAGAGTATTAACCGTCATGGCTGGGATGTCCTGACGGAGCTGGATGTTTTGATGTAAAAAAAATAGCTGAAATAGCACAAAAATTGCAAACCGAGATACGAGACGAAAAAATGTACAGAAGAAAACCRGATCGTCTACATCTTTAAAAATATGAGAATAAAGCACCGACTCACCAACTCAGCTCTGTGACTACCTCACGTTGGCTCAGAGGCTTCACAGCAGTGGGTTAACATCAAAGTTAATAAATTTATTAACAAATTAATCATTTCTACTAAACATCAACTGGTTTCTGCCACATGGGATTYGTTTAAGATCTGATGAAGTCCCTCCAGTCTTGTTCAAATAAAATCCAGAACTTAAAGCTGCTGCGGATCACGTGTGGAGCGTGAACCCACCGGGCTTTTAAAACTGCTGAGTCATGCTGGGAACAGTAAAACAAACTGATGATGATAAAAAAATTAATCCTGTCGTCTAAAATGAGCTGAAGAAATGTTTCCATGGTGTTTCTTCTGTAACTGTTTTTCCTGTGAAGCTCAGAGGGTTTGTGGCTGATTTAGATGAGTTTTATCAGTTTATTCAAGTAAAAAAAAACATGCAAACGAGAGGATGATTCATCTGAACTATTGACGGAAAATCAGTGGGAGTGAAAAGTGACACGAGTCAGAATGTTAGAGCTGTGGGGATAAAAAGCAGTTTTATTCTGATTATAAACACTTGAGCAGGTAGAGAAACATCATCAGAGAAGGTCAGACACACCTGCATGAATAAAAAAGTGACTTTCCTAAACTCCCACATTGAAAAGAGCTGCTTTCTCTAATAAAACCTTAACTTCACTTTGTTTTAAAATTATAGTAAATTAGAGCATTTGATCAGAAATTTTTGATTTGTTTGTTCCTGCTGATATTTAACACAAACAGGAAGTCGATGCTCTTCACTTCCTGGCGTCTATAAAAGAACGAAGAAACTCGTTTATTTCATAAAGGTTAAAAGGAAAGTTGATTCTGGTGACGGCACGTTGCCCTTCACTGAACCTGATGATTTTATCTTTAGTGTCTTTAAAAGTCACGACTGCACGAGGATTCACAAATGTCAAGTCGAACAACACGTTCCAACGAGCTGAAATAAAGAAAAAGCCACGTTTTACAGGAGGAATCCTTGTAACACAAGTTTCAGTTCATTTTCCAATCTGTACAAACTAAATGTGTACAAATACCCAAACTAAATATGTACAAATACTCAAACTAAATTTGTACAAATACCTGAGGGGAACTGTGGCAACATGAAGAACAGAAGAGCACATTCTTGGATAAAAAGTGACCTGGATCAAAGACATCAATAAATACAGCAATGTGGAGTGCCACAAGGGTGGGTGCTCAGTCCTAAACTTTTTCCACTTTACATAAATWATCTTTGCAACGTATCTAAGTTATTAACATTTATTTTATTTGCTGATGACGTTATACTGTATTGCTCTGGCAATGATTTGGAGCTACTTCTGAATACAATGGAAATTGAATTAAAAGTATTAAAGAAATGTTGAGACAAAAATAATCACTAAATTATAGCAAACAAAATTATTCATGTTAGTAATGAAATAAAAAATGATGTCAAACGCATGAAAAACAATACTAAAATAGAAACTGTATGAAATTACACTTTTGGGAATGATACTTGATTACAGRTTGCATTGGAAGACTCAGAAAAATCTATAGGAAAGATTGTTTATTGTTTATTTTCAGTATTAATTCTGTTTTGTTTTCTTTTTCTGCGTTTTTGTGTCATCTTTTAAATGGAAAGGTTAAAAATTACTAAAATACAATAAATGTACATGTGAGCAGCATTAAAATAATAATCGAATCAGATAAAAAAAATTAACTGTTTATTAAGATAAATGCATTTGTGTGGTCAGGACAGGTCAGCAGCAGGTCCAGGAGGAAAACTCGGACATCTCCATCGCTCAGCTGTGACTGTCGGAGACGAGCTGGTGACTCAAAACTCTAACGTCCACTCGGTCCTGCAGGAGAAACACACCTCAGGGTGGTTCTGGTGACAACTTCTGCAGACAATCTGTAGTTTTACAACAACTTCTGTGTCTGCAAAGTCCTGATCACGACCTTCGAAGGCAACAGAATCAGACCGACAAACACAAATATTTCTGTAGTGAGAGAAAATAAATATATTTTTATGAAATTATTATTATAATTGGATGGTTTGGTTGCAGAGGATCTAATGAGGTGAACGTGTTAATAAAAACATAAATC